AACAAATTGAAGATCCTTACCTGCTTTCGTGGGGATTTTCCTATACAGCAGTTCGGGACTTTTAAAGCATTCATCATACGAATGTAAACTACCGAACACCGGACCATCCTGCTACCTAATTATGGGTAATTTACTTCCATGATCTGCAAATACAGTCTGCATAGGAAACCCACGAACGCTTTGTGAAGTGCCTGGGTGGCCGCCATTTCGGGACTTTTACACGTGGTCGCGGCCATCTTAACTCCTGAACAGCTGTGTTTTGCCGTCGAACTAAGTGTGTCTGGACCTAAGATCGGACACTCGAGTTGGCGAACACCGCTGAGACCTCCATAGCACCGGAAATTCGTGCCAAAGGTAGAAAGACTTAGTAGCATATGGGGATTCTAGCAAACGTTGAGTTACGCACGGATGGCAAGCCTTTCGGAACTTTTAACGCGCGAATAAGGACCGACAGCAAGGCCAAAACTCATGGAACTGCAGTCGGTCAAAACTTTAAAGTTCCATATCTCCCGAACCACTGAACCGAATGAGCTGATTTTTTAATATAAAACAAGGAAGTATAAGCGCTATTTGAGTATAAAATCTTAAAATTATATATAATCTAAACAGCTGCTAACCACCGTGAAAATCTTTTACAGAGTGATAGAGAATAGTAAGTGGTACCGGTGTAGCGCTTATGTGCAAAATTGAATATGAAACGAAGTTTTACCCAATTTTCTTCTATGTTAGTCAATTATTTCTTGTTAACCTTAAGGTAAAACAGAGAAAAAATACATAACATAGTGCAGATTGTATGTAAATATGTAAAAATTGATTTAAAACAAAAGCCAAATGGCAACTCACAATTTTCTGAGCTATAAATCTAGCTCAGAATTTTGGTGCTTTAGGATCCGTATAGGCGACCCTCTCCCTTCTTCTCCTTTCTTTAGTCCAGTCCTATATGGATACAGGAGGGGGTATATAGTGTAGTATAGTTGATGTTATTATGGGTATATAAAAGTGATAAATGAGGTACTCACAAACCCAGAGCCAGTCTATAGGCTCACTTCAGTGCGCATATGTGGTTTTAGGACCACACTCCTTCTTTATATTAGCAGGAAAAAAGCCATAAGTGTGTCAAAATGTATGTATATTTATTATAAAAAATTGTTACACATTATAAAAATTCTATTAGAAATATATGTAAAAAATAAATAAATAAAACACTTATAAGGCTTAATAGAGTCCAATAAAGTCCAAAAAAAAAAGGAGTTTTCAGTGCTCACTTTTCTTTCTGGAAAGAAAAGTGAGCACTGAAAACTCCTTTTTTTTTTGGACTTTATTGGACTCTATTAAGCCTTATAAGTGTAGTATTAAAAAACCGCCGTTTAGTAGATCTTCCCTTCCAGAGACATGGGCACAGCTACTGCAGAACACCAATCAGCTGAACAGGAAACCATATGAATGCCGTAAACAGCCAAATAGGAAAAACCATACGAATAGGTTTACACTCCTAGCACACGAACTGGAACACCATACAATAAATCCCCCCAAGAACGAGACAAGTCTCCGTTTTGAGGGTCAAGCAGGAACAGACAGAGCTGTGGGTTTATTGTTCTTATATACACCTTAGTACCACCCACAGGGTTTTGGAACACAACCAATAAACACATACAATACACTCAGACACTCCCACACAAAATCCTCCCCTCTGCCTGTGATACAATTACCTTACACAATGGGTAATGTAATTATCACAAGCAGAGAAATACAATTTTCCCACATTATTCATAACTTGAAAAGTATGCATCACATTCACATAAATTACATTTTCTGAATCAGTATACTCCAAATACAAACATATGTCAAAATCATCCAAATTGGTCCAGTGGTTCAAAAGATAGATCGAAGTCCTTTGTGACCAAATGAAGCATGGCTTTTCTGCCCAAAACCAGTTCCACAGAGTCTTCTATCCTGGAGATAATCGGGAAGTAATCCAATTATCTCCAAGGACAGAGGCAAAACTCCATTGAACACATGGCAGCAAAAGACAATAAAACACATAAAACATATAACTGTGCAGCCATTGCACAAAACAGGTACATTCAACATATCCCCAGATAGCTCAGATCTGAGCGCACATTATTACTGAATGGCGCTCAGAGAACACACATACAGTTTAATTGCCATGGAGCCAAAGTCTTTCCCATAGTCTTTCGTTATATGAATGGGCTCCATGGCATAGCTATCTGGGGTATCACCGCTCAAACAGGGCCAGCACCGAATGACCCGGCTTTCGTGTCTCCGCAGGGGAAAATCAAGCGTTTCAACATGGGGCCATAGTCTAAAGGCAGCCGGGCAACCAGGCTCCTCCAATGCACAGTGGCGAGATTGGTCTCGTCATACCCTCTTACTACCTGGGTAGCCGTTTAAGTATTAAATATGAATGAGCCAATAAGCGCTCACCAATGACTCCGGGCTTTTGAAAGTCTCAGTTTGCCGAGTGAAAGACCGCAGGATTTCAGGTATATAGAGGTAGCATGTATCCAAAGGATATGTCATTTACGGCCAGGAAGGGGAAATAGTTTTGATGAGCTGAAAAAGGAGTCACATGACTGTGGACTTTTTTTAGACTCCTTCAAATAAGGAATTTTGCACAAGGATACAGGGACTCGCAGGCGCCAGTTTCACGTTACGGATTTTGAACGTCTGTGTAAAGTTGGCAAATATCAGAATGGTTACAGCATCTAAGGTTTCAGTGTGTGTATTATCTCAGAGACAGGTGTTCAAAAAAATATCTACATATTTGGTGGGAATGCCCAAAGATGTCCTGATTTTGCAGGCGAGTGGGAGATCTCACCGAGGCAAATCTAGCTGCTTGTCGAGCATTAGCAGCCAATTGGTTACAGATTGAACCATCTATGCAGAGATACGGTCACGAAATTACAGGATAATTGCTTAACCCCTTCAGGACAAGTGACGGACCTTGTCCGTCACCCGTTAAAATTAAACCCGGATCGCCGCTATTGCGGAGATCGTGGGGTTAATGGTGCTCCAGTCTGCCTCTGTATTAGAGGCAGACCGGGAGCACCCGATAGTGCTGCCTAGCACATGTGCTCGCTCTGACAGCATGTCAGAGCGAGGACATGTGTTTAGTATACTTACCTTCCGCCTCCCTGCACTTCCTGGTTCTGTGTGAAGTGCAGGGAGACGGATCAGTGATGATCCTGCCCCCTGTGTAAAAAAATAAAATAAAGTTAATTTAAAATCCCACCCCCCTTCCCTGCCAATTGATCACTGACTACAGTGATCAATTGGCAAGGATTACATTTTACTATGATCTGATTTTTTACTTTTTTTTAACCCCTGAGGGTTAATTATTTTAAAATTATAAATTTAGCTAGCTAGGGTGGGTGTAAGTTAGTGGGGAATTGGGGGATTTGGTGTTAGGCTAGCTAGGGGTTAACGTTAAAAAAAAAAAGTTTTAAAATAAGCTTTAAAAAGTTCAAAATTAAGTTAAAAAAAGTTTTAATAACATTTAAGAAAGAAAAAAAAAACACCCCCTTTAATCCGTCCAAATAAAAATTAACCCCTTCCCTGCCAGTCGATCACTGCCTACAGTGATCAAAATACAGATCACAGTATTATAATGTGATCTAAAAAAATTTTTAACCCCTGACAATGAAGTTTTATTTATTTTTTAACCCTCAGGGGTTCAATTTATTTAATTAACTGATTTAAATATTTTATAATTATATATTTTGCTAGCTGGGGTGGGTGGGAGTTATGGGAAAATGGGGAATTTACTGTTAGTGCTGCTTACTGCTAGTTAGGGGTTAACGGTAAAAAAAGCTTAGAAAAATGTTAAAGCAAAAAAAAAAAAAAGTTTTTGAGAAAGTTTAAAAAAGTAAAAAAATACATTTAAAAACGCTCATTACCACTACACCTGGAACAAACTAGAGAAAAAATGATCCCACGCCAAGGTTCAAAATATGCCTTTTGAATTACCCCAGGGTGTATTCTTTAATAAATAGTATGTGTTTGTGGGGAAGTTTCAATAACCAACCGTCTAAACTACTCCAAATTGGAACATGGACACAGCGTAAAACTTCAAAGTTAGAAAAAAACTGAATGGCTGCGTCTCAAATGTGCCCCTTCAACATCCACATATACCTGGCAAAGGTACATACGGGGGTATTGCTGTACTCAGCCGACATAGCTGAGCAACATATGAAGTATTATACAGTCATAGCACACATAAGGTTTGCAAAATATGCTGCGCAAACTCACTTTGTATGTCAAAAAGGCAGAAAAAACGCTTATTACCACTACACTTGGTACAAGCTAGCGGAAAAATGATCCCACGCTTGTAAGAATATTAAATAGTTAACTTGTTTATATGTATTTTATGCTTTTATAAGGTTTATAACATGATTATTGCTGACTGAAGGAATATTGAATACTTAAAAGTCAATGTACGACATAATATGCTGACTGTGACAGACTAAGGTATTTCTTCTATAGGATGTAAGACAATGCTAAATTTCAGGATGTCTTGCCCATTCCGATTTTAAGGATATTCTTTTCCAGACGTATGCAAAAGCTTATCTTTCCATTGTCAGAATAACGTAATACAAGGAAGTAATAAATCTTATAGTCTGTACTGTATCTGCATATACCATGGCTAATGTAAGCAAACTATGTATAAAAGCCAGCTCTGGAATACACTCATTTGAGAGTCTTGTAAAGCTGTTGTCCGTGTGTTATTGCTTACAATGATCCTCCATCAACGTTGATTATGGTGACCGAGGGATCGAGAACCGAGGGGATTAGAGTCTATTACAACATTAACCCTTTCAGCTTGGTGTCTAGAAGTGGGATAGAAGTTGGATCAGCAAAACCATTTGCGGTGAGTAGCCTTTTTGTGTCTTATTTGACGCTGATTGTCTATGACCCCCTTTGGTTCAGTAAGACTGTATCCAGTAGATAGGAAAGGTGTAAGGACTCTAGTTATATTGAGACTATAAGAGGTCTCCGGTTTATTAGACATTTGGTCTAAATATATAGGGTTTTGGTAACCCAGGTTAGTATCTAAGATAGATACAGGTTTTTGAGACCATAAAAGGTCTCCGGTTTATTATAGGGTTTTGGTAACCCAGGTTAGTATCTAAGATAGATACAGGGTATCTCAGGTAGATACAGGTTTTGAGACCATAAGAGGTCTCCGGTTTATTAAGTCTATAGGTGTTCTGATCTATAAGTATAACCCAAACTTCTCTTTCTCCCGGTCACCTTTGTTTGTCTTAAGTGTTTTTTTGTGGGTGATTGTTTGTCTATATTGGGGACACACTTTGGTAAGTTAGTAGTGTCCCCACTCTGAGTCAGCAGTATGGGAAATGTGAGTTCATGTCCTGAGTGACCAATATATGTATGTGTATATATGTGTGTGTATGTATATATGTGTATATGTATGTATATATGTGTGTGTATATGTATATGTGTATATATAAGATAGCAGTACTTTTAAACAAAATGGAGGTTTTAAAAATACATAGGGATTAAGGAGAGAACGCAGGTAACTTGTTTTTCTTTGGTTTTTACCATATATTGGGGCTGATGTGTACTGTAGTCCTTGCTGCTGCCCAGTAGTGATGGGAGTGAGTGCAGGACTTATCTTTCTGCAAGATAGCAGTACTGTATATTAGAAAAGAAATGACTCACAGGTTGTACCTGATAGACCTACTTAAATCTTTTTACTTTATTCTTTCTGTCGCATAGAAGTATAAGTTTATTACTCTGTTTTATTGTAAGTTATTTCACATGGGAACTGTGTGCCTGGAATGATTGGTGCTTTAAAAATACTATAAGCCCACTACACTTATTATGAGAGTGGGATAGTGTAAATGTGTTGCATTGTTTGCATGATGAGCTCAGTATATTTTATAACTGAGACAAAAAGTCACTTCATTAGTATTTGAAAGTTAATTCCCCAGATGGGATTAATTGTATAGAAACACCAATCAGCACATCTTCCCTGCCCTGTGTGTTTGTTGCAAAGGATCCATACTGTAAATATGACTTATGTTTGAAAATAACAGAGCAACATTTACATTTTCAGCGGTCCAACACATGCTTTATTTTGCACTGTAAACTAACCTTTTTATTGCAACAGGTTCCTTTTAAATGATCCAGTGTAATAACTACTGCTTGTGTCTTCTATGTCTCACATTATGTGTTATTTTAAATTGTGGTATATAGCCTGAATCAGACATCATGGACAAAAGGTTTTTACCTGTGTTACTAAGGGCTCTTGGAGACTGACCGGTCTAAAGGTTTGCCATGCCTTTAAAACATGGTATAGTATAAATTTTTTAAGTCTCTGAGAGTTCTGAAAGATTCAGGTGAAACCATGTCTGTTTAATCTGGTCCAGATGTTTGCAAAAAAAATTTCTGTAAGATTTAAGTTGATGCAGCATCATCTCAGATTAGTTAATGGAAGTTTTATACAAATAGTTGAGTTATGAGCGCGCTATATAAATGGATCCTTTCTTTAAATACAATACTATAGTAGATTAAAGTAATGATGTTAATTAAGAAAATGTATACATAAGAATCCCTAAAATAAATCTAAACTAAAATTGGTATACCTTCCAATAATATGTTCTGAATACAGCTGTTAACTGTTTATTCTGTGTAAATGGTGATTGTGATAATGTGTGAAGTGTGCAGTTTAACTTGAAAGTGGTTTAATTTATATGTTGCTGTATTGTTTTAAATTATATGTGAATCAGTTTGTCACAGTCTAGTGATACTGATAAGAATGACAGCCAAATAACCTAGCAAATAACTGTTTTATTAGTTGTTGAATACTAGCGTTTTGGCCAAGAATAGTTGGAGATTTGGAGGTGTTAGTTTAAGATTGCTTTTATATTGTGTCTATCTGTGTTTCCTAGGAAGGAGACAGAGTGTGTAGTTGTGTGCCCATAAATGTGATTTCTGTATTGGCATATCTGCTGGGTACCCATTATGTGTTTCTACAAAGATATTGTTTTATGAGATGACTAATATTACATGGGATGCTGAGTATGAGTTATATGGTTTGAAATGAATTGGTGATTATGAGCTTAGTACTTCAGTAAGATGTGCTAAAATTTGGAACAAGGTGGAAGCTGAAATGTTGGGATTATGGAAGAATAGGTAGTCTATATTCACTGCTTTGGCATATAAGCAAGATGCAAAGGAAGAGATTGGTAATATGATTTTTGTAAAGAAATTTTACAAGTGTTGGAAGGATGAGGCAGGTTTGATGTCTGGAGATGATATAGATCTTTTTAAAATACAGTCATGCCTTGGTAATATGTTGCCACAGTATTATTTGCTTGTGAAACAATTGATTTCAGACTGGGCCAATTTGGATAGCTCAGATTTTCTTACCAAGGTTATAGAAAAGGAAAATGCAGGTTGTTTTGAATTAAGAAAAGATTTAGGAAAGTAAGGTTGCTTATTATGCTCAGGGATTGCAACACAGTCCACCTACACAGGCTGAGAGCGTGGATGGGATGGAGCACATAAAGCCCGTGGAAGGGGTGGTCAAAGAGGGGCAAGGGGATGGAGACAGGGAAATCAGGGTTATAGGGGTAACCAAGGAGGAATAGATAGGAACACTTGTTTCAACTGTGGCCAATATGGCCACTGGAGGAATGAGTGTCCACACCCTAGGAAACCCCAGGAAACCCCAGACACCCCAACAACCCCACAATTCTCAAAATATGCCCTGTAGGCAAGAACAACACCAGACCCACTCCCAACACCACTGGCCAGCATATCGCTTAGTTCAGGACTTTAGAGCCCTGAATAGTTTAATTGTGCCCATTTCACCCATTGTCCCTGATGTGACATCCCTCATTACAGCCATTCCACATGATGCCACTTGCTTCACTGTCATTGATTTAAGTAATGCATTTTTTTTTTCTATACCTATTGATCAAGAGACACAGCTACTTATGGTTTTTACTTTTTGAAGGCTGTCAGTTTACCTGGACACGCTTACCCAAGGCTATGTGGATTCCCCAGCTGTTTATTCGTTGGTACTCCAACATACTCTAACAAACATGGACCACCGGTCATGGTTCCGTCCTTTTTGCAAAATGTTGATGATTTGTTGTTATGTAGCCCTAGCTCTGAGGCAAGCACTGTGGATACTGTCAGCAACTGTAGGTCACAAGGCTGTTAAACACAAAATGCAATTGTGTAAATCAAAGGTTGAATACTTAGGTTTTGTTCTGGCTTTAGGCACCAGACAATTGAGTCCAAAACGTATTGAGGTCATTCAGAGGATTCCTACACCCACTACTCGGAAGGAGTTGCTCACCTTCCTCGGCATGATTAATTACTGCCACCATGGATCCGTGAATGCTCCCATTATGATTCAATCCTAAGGGAGGCTGTACGTTCTGACAGCCCTGAAAATGTCTGCTGGTCACCAGACATGCTAGCTGCATATATTGCCCTTACAGTTGTTATTGTGCAAGCCCAGGCTTTAGGACTACCTGTGTATTGTAAACCATTTCATTTGTATGCTTGGGACAATTGTAAAACCATGGCCAGAGTCTGTGCACAAGAGCAAGGAGGCGGTATGCGTCCCATAGCATTCTTTTCCAAAGTAGTTCGAGCTCCGGTACAGGGTATGCCGGCGTGTCTCAGAGCATTGATAGCATGTGCAATGGCTGTTGAAACTGCTACTACTATCACACTAGGGCATCCTACAATACTTTATGCCAGTCACCAGGTCACTCAGCTGACAAATCTCACCACACAACACATGACAGCCCAGCGCTTCAGTGGTTATGAGATTCTTTTTTTTTTCTTTTTTTTAATACCCAGAATCTGTTTTTGGATTAAATAAGGTTTAGAGAAAGATCAGAATGATCTGTTCTCTAAAGAGGGGAGAATAGGCATACTTGAAGAATAGGCATACTTGAAGCAAGCGGATTTATTTTCATCAGTCAGGCACATAGCAAGCACCATTCAATTCCTCATGAATTCATTTTATATTAGGAATCTCAGGCAGCATGTACAGTCTTTTGTAAGATCGTGTGAACGCTGCTCTTTTTACACACTTACAGATTGATTTTATTCATGTATCCAAAATTGGTAAGAAACAGCAATACTTACTGGTCATAGTTAATCAGTTTAGTAGATGGCATGAGGCCTTTGTGATATCTAGGGAAGATTCTAGTGAAGATTATTGTTACTGAAATTATTCCCAGGTATGGCTGCCCTCTGCAGATTGGCTCTGATAAAGGCCCGGTTTTTGCAAGTGGGGTTGCCCAGGAACTTGCTAAATTCTTGCAAGTTACCTGGCAGTTTCATATACCCTATCATCCACAGAATACAGGGGTAGTTGAAAGGATGAATAGGACTATTAAGGAAAAGCCCAGAATTTACCCAGGAACATGGGTAAATTGGACTAGATATCTACCAGCTATTTTAGCTGAGATAAGAATATATCCCCACAAGGTGAATTGTTGATAAAACCGAATGGTATGTATGACAATGTTTCTTCGCAGTTTTCCCTTACCTTCACAGGAACCTACTCATTCATACCAGCCCGGTGACAAGGTGTATATCCGTCAGCTGAACAGGACCAAGAAAGGAGGATACCCTTTTGGACCACCTGCTACTGTGATTGCTGTAACCAGAACCGCTGTCCTCACAGATTCACATGACATCTGGATTCACGCATCCCGAGTGAAGCTGTGTCCAAAGAGGGGAACCAAGGAAGACAACACCACTCCTCGCTCGGAAACAGAAGAATTTCTCCTCAGCGAAGCATCATGGCTTTTACACCATATCGTAGATTGAGAGGATCATACGTACCTGAGACCAAGATTATGTTGTGTGCTATGCTTTCTGGAGTTGTTATACTCCCTCTGATATTGTTCCTTGAATGCCATTATGAGTACAAGTCAATGGCAAGTTCTGGAAAAAGACTCTGACATGATGAACAATTCTTCAATACCCCCAGCCCAATTAGGCCTTAGCCCCTCATCTAGCATTCGTCACACACGCCCCCTCAAGAACCTTTCTCCACCACCTTTCTATCAGCATGCAATATGCAATCATTCATTCAATGAACGCATTTGGATGAATTGGACAAATAGTAACCCTTATAAGTACCAGTTACCCATATGAAATGTGTCTACAGCTAATGAAACCGATGCATTATGTTTGTTTGAAGGTTCACAGAAAATTGTTAGATCTTATAACGCAGAAATGTGCACAGTTAAGGTTGCATATCAATGTAAATAGACAGGCCTTATTACTTTTAATAATGATTATATAACTGGTATCATTAATTGGAAAAGGGGACAAATGTTAGTCATTATGAACGACACTACAATTGAGAACTATACACTACCTTATATTTTTACACCTTATTACTGTCCTTCATCCACTATCATAGAACCAAAAGTCAAACACGACACACACACACCTATTCCG